TCCCCCCTCCCCCTCCTCACATCCTAGTCCCCCTCATCCCTCTTGCATCCCCTTTTGTCTCTCATTAAGGTATTAAGGGAACTTTAGATCCAAAAGAGCATGTAACATTCTTAACTAGGGATGCACGATATTGGTTTTTTGAAACCGATACCGATAACTTCCTGCTTCTCAAGACCGATACCGATAACCGATAATAATATAATATATATATATATATTAAATGTACCTGTAGTTTTTTTCCTCGTTTTAGCCCTGGGGTCGTCTCTGGCAAACTTCTTGCCTTTTTCAAAAGCCTCGTCGATAGGTAAAGCCCCGGTGCCTTTGCGGCTGGCTTTGGATTCGCCGCTAGTTTAGCAGCGCAGGGCGTCTTCGTACGCTTTTAACACACCATCGTAGCGATGGCGATGTTTCAGGTGACTAATCAGGTTGGAAGTATTATAGCTCGTTGCCTTTCTCCCTCCTCGTGGAACTTCTGCATTGCATTTGTTATAAAAATAGCAAGCGAACTATCTAACTCTGAAACTTTGAAATAGTCCCATACTACCGACGACATGTTTGTTTACTGTCCTGGCTTCACGGCCGCACACCATTTACGTCACAGCCAGGCATGAGTTAGGGAGCGCTGGATTTGTGAAAAACTCCCCTCTTCCTAAACCACTAATACTGGCAAAACGGGAGGAGCCGAGTAAAAAACAAGCGCCCCTCATCCCAATCCACCCACACCGCAGTATTTTTTTCTTTTTTTTTACCCAAAAATATATTGTATATTATCGGGGCTATTAATACTTTTATCGGGATGACGTCATAATTCCTAATATCGGGCCGATAATTATCGTGCACCACTATCTTTAACAGGTCACACAAAAAGCATGTTATTATTGTGATAATTAATAATGCATCTCTTAAAGAGCACTACATAGTATCCCACTGAGACCCAATACAATTAACTTAGATTCATCAAAGATTTCTAATGAGTCCTAAATAACTAAAGGCACATTTGTTGCTATTTGCTATTATGTATATGCATTCAGACATTTTGGATAGGGGTTCTTAAAGAAAACAATGATATTATTGTTCAGAATTACAGTGTATATTACAGTACTTGATATTACTACACAATGGTATTATTTTCTCTGCACTTTCCTTGTTGTTTGCAGTTTGAATCTCTATGGTTTTCGCACTTATTGTACGTCACTTTGGATAAAAGCTTCAGCCAAATGAAATGTAATATAATAATTTAATATGTAATACAATGAACATCTCTCATTTATTATACTTCTTGGCAAAGGTATTCCCCAAATATTCCCCAAAATCGATTGAAACTCATTAAATCCTTCCCTGTGATAGGAGATTTGTACATTCCTGTTTTGTATTGTATTCACTTTATAATCTGCCAAATCTGTCACTGTACTGTTAACCTGTTTAATTGCAAACCATGTTTAAATAGAATCATATATTTCCATATCAGAAAAATCACGTATTAGATAAGAATTAGAAATAGTGCTAATAATGTTTTAAACCAACCATCCCCTCCAGACCCCATCCCCGTCACGCAGCAGCCCAGGAGGAAGATGAGGATGAGGAGAGGAACATTACCAGCAGCACCTCCACTGAGGGGGCAGAGGCCGGAGCGGACCCCTCCTCTCACCAGCAGCCGCTGCCCTCCGCGGGGGAGGAGGGCGACGAGGGCTCCTGCGAGCTGTCGGACGAAGTGAGTCGGGATAGCACCATGGGCTCGGACTCGGACACGTTCTCCTCCCCGTTCTGCCTGTCGCCCGTCAGCGAGGCCCTCTGTGAGAGCAGCGGCTCTGTGTTCCTGGACAGTGAGAGCAGGTCAGTGAATGGGTCGAAATGAGCTGCATTAGTTAACTATTTTTGCTGTTATTTAGAAGGTTACCTATTATGCAAAATCCACTTTTTCATGTCTTTTATGCATAAACATGTCTCCCCTCTGTGTAAAGAGATTCTGAAAGTTTCAGGAAAAATGATTGGCTCACTTTTTGTTCTGATCCATTTATATAAAAAAAACCTGTCTGAAAATAAGCTGATCAGATTTTGGCCCATTTATGATGTCATAACGATTTGTTGGCTTGTGTAACCATTAGCTAATAACCAACCAAGGTAACACCCCCCCCCAACCTTATCACCTGAATCTCCTCCTAGAGCACCATTAGCTGCTTTCACACCAAGTACTTAGCCGGTACTTGTCCCCGGTACTTGTTCCCCCCGAACTCTTTAGTCCCTCAAACTGTCCTAGTAGATCGCGTTCTCACCGGAATAAGTCCCTGGCTGCGTCTCACTTCGGTTATTTTTCATTTCCTCGCTCCTCGGTCTTGGTATCATCTGCGCCATCTTGAGTAGGGTCCCAGTGGCCTTATTGGTACCGGAGTACCGAGGATCGAGGAGCGATAACGGAGGAGCGATAATCGAGGAACTACCAGATCATCCTCCAGTGAAATCCTCAGACACTCGCCCCGCCCCCTTACTGTGTATCGCTCACTGATTGGACGATGCAGTCGATGCAGTGATCTGATGCTTCTTGACATGAGAGCAGTTTCCCAGCGGAGTGAAGAAAATACATGAACCTCACAGGAGTCACTCCTCAGTTTATACTGTGTTTTGTTTCAATTCATGTATCATTTAGTTACACATATATTTATATTACACATGATATATCTGAACAACAAAGTGGTCAAAAATCATTTTATTCATTATTTGGAAACATTTTCATGATCGCTTTTTTCGTTTTACATTTTCATTTATTTTCATTTCCATTCAGTCAGTCATTAAGTATTATATAAAATGTTAATGTGCTACATATCCAAACAAACAAACAAAGTGTGCAATCCAATGAATGTTAATCTAACTGGGTTTTGATAGATAACATACTCTTTTTCTTCTCTGAATTATTTTATTTCTATTGTGCACTCTAATCAATATTAATCAAACTATTGTTCGTTTATACATTTTAAGAATGGCGTTTATCTTTTTTGAGAATGAGTTCTTATTTTATTTTATTTATTGGAGTCTACAACAGATGATACAAATGTTTATATCAGTAAATGTGTGGCGGGGGTGTGTGTGGAAATAACGGGGACAGAGCTGCTGTCAGACGATCAGCTGTGCGGAGTCATCACAAACGGACGTCGCTTCACGTGACGCTCCGGAGGAAAGGACGTCCCATTGCTCTTAAAACTAGTTCCCCTGCTTCTCGTGGTTTCCTTGCGTCTCTCCATGCTTCCCTGGTGGGAGGGACTAAACGCAGGGAAACGACGCAAGTGAGGGACGCAAGGATTTAATTTAACCGAAGTGAGATGCTTTGAGAACACTTTTGAAACAGGGTTGAAACAGAGGGGATTATGGGATGCCACAATGCATGATCTGTTTGGTGTTTCGAGCCAAACACCTTTTAAAGGCAGAGTTGAGTTTATTCTATGTTTAGTTAGCCGTGTTGGTCAAATATATCTTTTTTATTGGCTTTCTTCTACTTATATCTCCACCACTGTCCTAAATATCATCAAAACTTCAGATGTGCTTTGCATTCTGGTAGCCGAGTACTTCATACTGCACTGTAAGGCTATTTTGTTTCCCTCCTCATTTCCTGACTGCCCGATAGCTTTTCATTAGAGAAGAAACGTAAAAAACAATGAATTGTAGTTGGTGTTGTGATCACACACCCTGCAGTTATTATTTAAGTCTATAACTTTGTAACTGCTATTCATCCTTGCGTTTTTCCATCATTTATTTCCTTTGACAACACTTAATTTTGCAGTTTTTCTAGAAGATATACCAACAATTGAAGCAACAACTATCTGGTGTTGCTGGACCGTTTTAAGTTGCTTTTTAAATTTAGATTTAATTACAGAACCGTGTTATCTCTGTTGGAGCTCTAAAGACTTGCTGTCAGATGCTCCAGTCCTGTTCTGTCAAATAACAAAGCATTTGTTGCACAATATTGTTCAGTGTTAGTAATTGTCTCTTGAATAAACAATAACTCATTGTTTATCGTCAGGCCTTTGTTAGAGATGACACATGCTGCTGATTGTTGTTGTTGTACTAAATAGGGATGAATTGTATTTTGGAATTATTTATTTGCAAAATCAGTCATGTAAATATGTCGTACTTAGATTTTAAAGAGCCTGGGAAGAGGGACACGAGGAAAAACTGAATCTGTAATCAGGGCTGTAGCCAGAAACAAATGCAAAGTAAGGTCCAATCCACTGAATTCCCCCCAACCTTAGCAATACTGAGCAGACTATAAAAGATGAAAACAATTTTTTACATTTTATGTATAAAGTGTTCTTTACAATTTTTCACAAGGCATGTATTGTGGACCAACTTGAAATTAAACAATATACATTTTTACCATGAACAATTAAAAACGTGTTTCTACCTGACACTTGCTAACTGGTTTTTCAAAGTCAGAGAAAAGTCTAACTTATTTTCTATACACAAAAAAATGTTAGCATTTAAAGAAAAACACTTTTTTTCTGTATGTTTTTCCTGCAGTTGCTACCACCACAAATAATAATATGAAAATGATGATACATTCAGAACAAAAATGTCAGTAATTGTTATCTGAGAAAACATAAATAACAAGCTCTCATAGACCTTTGTTATAATGGTTTCTTGTTAAAAGTTAATACAATTAAGTTGTTTTTTTCAGTTACTCTAAGCTACCGCAAGGTGGAGCCAAAAAGGAAAAATGTATTCCATGAGAGATAACTTCCACTCTGAGGCCACATGGTGGCTTACTGCTCTACAGCTGAAAGACCCTTTTGCAGTGAAAGCAGGTAGATGACTTCAAGTAGGTGGCATCTAATGATCAAGATGGGTTAATGCACTTAAAGCAGCTCTCAGTCTGAATGTCTAATCATTTCCCAGATGGCCCAAAATAAGTCCCCGAAATCTGCAAACCCAAAAACCTCAGTGCTTCCAGAGACTCTTCTCTAATCAGGCGAGCCATCTGGACAGTGATTGTGTTGCTGGTTGGACCTCACGGCCGTTTGACTTTATGATTCCCTCCGTGGCCGTTTCCTCACGCAGCTATTTGGCCTGACATGTTGCCCAGAATGTGTGAGCCTGTGTCAGTGTGTGACAGGGAGAGGGAGAGTGTGTGTTTAGGCCTTTCTAACCACTCTCAGACCCCAGCTTGCTGTAAGTGCAGTCAGTGTGTGACTTGGCAGCACTCTCTGCTTCACAGCGTCTAACCTTTACTCTGTCCTTCTCCTCCTCCATTCCTCTGTGCTCCACTTGCTGTTAGTGTTTCGGGCACTCGTCCTCTTCTTTGCCTATTTTCCCTTCCCCTTTGATTGTCCTCTACCCGTCCATTCCTTCCCCTCTTCATTTTGCATCCTTTCCTCTTGCTCATTCTCTCGGTTTTTTCACAATATTGTTTCTTTCGGTGTTGCCCACCTCTCAAATATCTCCCCCCCTCCCTTCCCTGACTAAAGACTGTGTGAAGCCCTTTGATTCCCAGTGCTCCCGGGGTTGTTGTGCTGGGCTGAATGTCAGCTCTCCGGATTAGAGGACTGAAGAGAGCGGAGCAGCAGCCAAAACCCTGGAACCCACTCAATCTCTCTTTCTCTCTCCCTTGCTTTAATTGACACTGTTAAGGGGCCAGGAACTGGAAACATGTCACTTGGAATCATTCAAAGAGAAAGAACCGCGTATGGGAGAGCAAGAGTGGATGAAAAAGAGGGGGAGAAAGAGGAGAGTGGTGGGAGAGGGCAAAGAGAGAAATCCACAGCAATCTCCGTCAAGCTTCTTAACAAGTTCCTTCAGAGTTTACCAGGAGTTTATGAAACTTCTGCCGACCGTCCTGACTTTTTCATGCTTTACTTCAGATGAAAGGAATATATCTCAGGAGCCATAGAATGAAGCAACAACCACGTATCACTGTATTATATTATACCGTCTACAAGTCACACAGTCTACAGTATTTTATTCTAATTAATATCCGAGTACTGGAGATTTCAAAGTAACCGATAAGAAAACAAACGAAATCATTACAAAATAAATTGGGAAAATAAATGTATTTTCTTTCACTTTGTATTATTTATTATGGAAGTTTTTAATGGATTGTTTTACAGCATTAAATCCAAGTATTTGTTTGGCATTGATCAATACAAAAATATCTATACAAAGTAGATTTAAATGCTTACAAATCAAATACATTTGATCATCTGTATTGTCAGGGCGTTTGAATTGATTGTGGGTATCCAGAGTCCATGTAGTAAATAATAAAACCGAGTCCTTTTTATAGGCACTATAATAATCTTCACATTTATCTCCCAATCCCCTTTCTAGTGGAGACATACATCAGACTTTAATGCGTGCTACTGTTTTTGGTTCTGGGAGTATTCCGACATCACAAAAATCAGCGTCAGATGTGTTTCTCCTTTTTTCAAACTCCTGACTGTACTGACCACTTTCCAAAGTGTGCACTGCAGAGAGCCCACACACCACCCTCTTCACCCCTCCCTCGTCTCCCCGGGGATTAGCTGAAGGGCCTGGGATCCCCGGAGGCCCGCAGCCCTCTGTCCTGGTTCTCAGGGTGACCTGGCAGCACCTTCCCCCAGGGCAAATCCTCATGTACGAGGAGAGAGGTGTTATAAGGGCCTCGGGGCAGTTTTGATCTCACCTTGGCCTGGTGGGACATGGCTGACTCCATCAAAACAGCTTGTTTACATAATGTTCTCTCTGTACAGAGACTTGCTGCCTGTTTTTGCCGCCTACAGATCACGAGCAGAATGAAGCTGTTGACACTGACAGACGTTGTTAATCGCTTGTTATGAGTCTACGCCTAAATGCAGCACAGCAAGAATGGCAGGAGTCTTGTTTCTCACCACAATTTCCACAGTTATTGCATTTGTATTTATATGCAGGGAAATAGTGTTGGTTCTTTCGAGCCAAGCGTGCAGAAAGAATGAAGGGAATTATGTAAATGGCCTCGAAGGCCTTGTTAACACTCTGAACTTTACGGTCATCATATTTATAAAAAAGCAAGTACAGTAGTCTTTAAAATGGATTTCAGTTTGCCTTGCTCCCATACCAGAGCCTTCTGTGCCTCTCTGCACTCTCCTTGTATTCTGCCGTCTGGTTTGTGGCGTGATACATGAGACAGAGAGCAGTAAATCAGAAGATAGCAGAGGAAACTGTGCAGCTTGGATTGATCGGCCTTGTTATTTTCCCATCTGCTTACGGGGAAATGATTAGCCAGACATGATTGATTCAGATTGTAATAGATTAGACTGGGCCCTGCCTCCCACGCAGTTTCAACGTACCGACCGACAGGCCTCTTGTGTAAAATAGTTGTTAATAAAAGTTATTTTAGAGGGAAAAGTTTCATTTTCCACAACAATACAAACATTCCTTCATACAAAGAGATAAACAGTTTGTGTAGCTTTTTTATTATTACTGCAGGGCAAATAAACTACACTTTTTAAATGGAATTAATCCTGTTTTAATTATTTGAATAAATAAAAAGTGTATTTGATGGTAGGTGGTGAGCATATCACTTCATGTGGACGTCTACTTCTCAAATTTCAGCGGGGTTTAACACATTTTGGTGTTGGTCCGTTTCTCAGCATTGGTATGTCTGAAGACGTGTTTGAAAGTGCATTATGGTCATTAGCTATGGTTGTGTGTGTGTGTGTGTGTGTGTGTGTGTGTGTGTGTGTGTATAAACTTGCCAGCTAATGATTCTTATGATTAAAAAACCTGTGTGTTTTTGCTGAACACAGCTTTGTCCGTTTTCAGTTCTGTTGCATATGTGTGTTCCTCTGGACATTAATGTGTATAGGTTGTGTGTGTGTGCACAGTTGTGTGTCTCGTCCAGCAGCAGAGAAACCCTCGGCTCAGGTTTCAGTGCCGGGAACAACATGCTGGCCATGGGGGAATGACAGGGGAAATTGGAAGGCAGACAGTATGATTTGTGTGTGTACAGACTTCCTTGTGTGTATGTGTATGTGTGTATGTGTGTGTCCTCAGAAGCCTCCATGCATTCCTCCCATTCTCAGCCTCATGGTGGAACCATACTGAGACTCAAAACAACAGGCCAGAGCTGAGCTATATGTGTGCACAATTATCCCTGGGCTAAACACCGCTGGTCGCTGTCTAAATAATATTTATTAACGATGTTGCACAAAGAAAAAGCCCCCGTTTCTGAATGTGAGGTACAAGATAAGAGAGATTTTTAGGGCTTAAACAACAATGTCTCCTTCCTTTGGATTTCATGAGAAGCATGACTCAGTTCCTTTTAGCACAGTAAATCACATACAAATTAAATCAGGAAATGCTAACTCCTTTTCTCTTTTTTTCCATCAGGGAGCTGTGCGAGGAGTCCATGAACCACTCTTTAAGCTCCGCCTCCAGTCTGGACAGCCACGCCCCCTCCGAGAGCAGCGGCCAATCGCAAGCCGTGCGGTGGGAGGAGCAGCAGAAGGTGCTGGCTCTGGAGCAGTTGTGTGGTGTTTTCAGGGTGGACCTGGGTCACATGAGGTCACTGAGGCTCTTCTTCAGGTAACAGGGGGCGCAAAGGTCACGGAGGTCATGTAGGGGTCACCTTTTTGCGCTACTGTTCAAGAACACAAGGTTTTTGTGGGTTTCAGGATGGTGTCGGTTTGTTTTATGAAAATAAGGGGAAAACGATTAGATTTAAGTTAAGTAATGAAACAAAATGGCGTAATTGTATTTAAGTATGTCTGTTACTGACCTATTAAGCCCCTTCCTTGACTTTCTTTTGTGAATCCTATTTTCTGATTGTTCTGAATCTCTTTTTGATGCCTTTGCAGTGATGAGGCGTGTACCAGTGGCCAGCTGGTGATCGCCAGCAGAGAGAGCCAATATAAGATCCTCCACTTTCATCATGCTGGCCTGGACAAGCTGTCTGAGGTCTTCCAACAGTGGAAGTGCTGCAGGGAAACTCAGCTCAAAGACCAGGTCGGGTTCCAATCCAAAATACTTTTTAGCATCTGGTTGTATCAAGAATTGTTCAGGTGTTCTTTCTTAGTTGTGTGCTCTTGTTTTGGTTCTGTGCCCATTTGTTATCCTCATTTCCTTCTTCTTCTGTCAGGTGGCAAATGAGAAATCTTGCATGCAGTTTTCCATCCAGAGGCCCACCCTGCCTTCGGCTGAGACCCACCCCGAGGAGAAGCTCTATCGACGGCTGGAAGTCACCACCTGGCTACGTCACCTCAACCACAATGGCCAGGTGGAGGAGGAGTATAAGCTACGCAAGGTTTGTCTTAGGGTCTGCATGTTTAAAAAAATATGTATAATTAATGTAAATGTTTGTTACAGGTTCAATAGCCTTTGATGATTAAATAAACCGTTTTTGGTTTAAATAAACTAACGTGACAAACATTGCTTCCATGAAATTGAGTAATGTAGATAGACGGCTTAACTAACTAAGAATGACAATACTCATTCAATACTTTTTTTAACAATTTCTAATCATGTCAAAAGGCTGTTAATTGCATACTTGCTTTTTTAAATACTTTGGAAGTTGGATTTAAAATATAATGACTAATAAAAGATGTCAGCAAGTCAAAAAGATCACTACGAATAGAACAAATTAAGAAAAATAGGTAGATACAAATAATAAATGTGTACATAGACTATTGGTGAATATTAAGATCAAAAGCCAAAAAAGGCTTTAATTTGTTGCCATACTTTTACAAATGAATGCGGCTTTTCCTGTAAATAATATTACTTCCAAGTGCAACATTGTTTATTCCCCCAAGCTGCACTTCAAAGACATCACAGACTCTTCTTTCATTTTCTGAAGTACAGCTTTTTCTTTGCTAATGCCACACATAATGAAACTCACTTTGATTTGCCTGTGCTTATTGGCCTTATTTGATGTGGCACACAAAAGGCCTATCCATAGCTTCATTGTGGCGGCATAAGGCTCTGACAACAAATGTTTACTGCCAAAATGACTGAAACCTTTGGTAAACCATAGAGCGACCCATATATGTTTTACATGTATCACAGCAGGAGATACTTCCTTCTGTACACGTTTTACAATCCTACTGCATCACCTCGAAAGCAAATGGTCTCACCTGCTGCTTTCCATGCAGTCAAGCTTCACACTCACTGAAAGTAATATTGAAAGTAAAGCCCACGGTGTATAGCTTTCGGTTTGAATCAGCAACTCTGGTCTTTTAATAATGAGATGGTTTGTCTTGGCCAATGCCCCCCCTCTGAGTCATCTGAGTTCTCTGGGATTGACTCAATTGAGGGTTTACCGTCTTACTGAAATGACTCAGTGGCAGTTAGACTGTGACCAAAAACATTTCCTCTGTAAATACTCAAATGCAGAAACAGGAGAGCAGTGTTTTCGCTGGACATGCAGATATACAGTGTATTTATTTTTTACAGGAGTTTCGGTTTTGCAGCATTTTGCAACACCTGTTTTTGACTTTATTATTATGAGTGTTCTGCGGTATTGCAAAAACTGCACGGAACAAGTGTTGAGATGAATCTGCTCCACCAAATGAAAATCTGCACAAAGATGTTATGTCTACCCTTTGCCTACAATAATAACATACTGAGGCTTGCCAACAACATTGTGTTTGATCCCAACCATGTGTTGAACAGCAAATAAAAATGGTCGCCATCAAATCGGAGATACAGGGTCCCAGGATTTCACAATGTTAGACTGAAGCACTCTTCTATGCACGAGTCAATCCTTAAAATCAATGCAGAGTCAAATCCCAGATCCAATCCATGTTAAAGGGTTTTGAAAATATGTTTTTTAGTGATTGTAATGTTATGTTAAATGTCTCTTCCCTTGTTTCCTGTCTTAATAATTCTCCGTGTTGATGTTGCAAATGGAGCTTCTGTGATGCAAGACCAGTTTCCGACTTTATCAGACGGTAAAGTATCGTTGTCTCAGCCTATCGTTACACTTATGAGACATCAGATGTAGTTCTGTAAGATGACAGCTGAGGGCAGGCTGTGTCATCTACACCACTCTCTGCATATCTTATTTGAAGTGACCCCTCCCTGTGTGCCCCCTGTTTGCCCTTTCGTAATCACCGCATTTGTTCGCCTCCCACTCTCCACCAGGCCATCTTCTTCGGTGGTATCGACCCATCCATCCGTGGTGAGGTGTGGCCCTTCCTGCTGCACTACTACAGCTATGACTCCACCTCCCAGGAGAGAGAGGCCTGGAGGCTGCAAAAACGCACCCACTACCATGAAATCCAGCAGAGGAGGTGGGCAACAGCGTGGTAGAAATGGATATGCATTTGAGTATTTAGAATCCTGCAGATTTCCTGGATTCTGACAACATTTCTGGCCCAAAATGAAGGTTATTTTAGGGTTTATGTGACGTTACAGAAATCAATTAACACAAAATAAACAGCAGTATCCTTGACACTGTGAAACTGCAGGTTGACTGTCACATGGCAGCAGTATCGGCTGCCAAACGCTCAGTCAGTCAAACATTGAACCACATGTGAGTCTGTTGTGGCTTCTCATCGCAGGCGCTGAGCAATCAATACGCACAATCAGCGAAGTGTTAAGGGGAGGTGCCGGGTGCGAAATAAAAAGGTCTCTGGAGAGAAAACATGTCAGCGGTTATCAGATCATATTCATCACACACACACACACACACACACACACACACACACACACACACACACACACACACACACACTTCCTTTAAATCTTTATTTGTGTTCACCAATCAGACAAAGGTTGAGTGTGCACATATTTTCACACATTCTGCTGCTCTCTCTATAATGAAAATGATAATTGGACAGGTTTCTTCTGTATGGCCTATTAACATTTTAAATACGTCAAAAGGCCTTATCGAAAGTCGGGTAATTAAAGCCCATGTTCTGACTTTGATGTGGATTCCTTTTTAAAGCCTGTTTCACTAGAACAGCCATCAGGGCCATGGGTGGATCATTAGGAGGAAGGGTACACGGCCACGGTTTTGTTCCTTGTCTCCTCACCTTCTGTCCTTCCCTTAACCTTAATAACCAAGCAGCTGCAAAGGGAATCAATGCAGCTACTGCAAGTAAGCCTTTTAGTAAGTATATTTATTGGCAATAATTGTCATTAGAACTTGTGGCACATTGTTAGAAAAATGTAAAAAGACTCAGGCATGATGGCATTTAAATTATTTTATAATATAAATTGTTGTGGCCTACAGTAATATATACGTTTACAACCAAGTGTGTAGTACCTCTTTAAGAACACTAAAAGCTAATTAAATCCTATAATTTGATTAACAAACACACAACTATATATACTAAAGGTCCATCTTATCTTATCTTATACTGTCATACATTAGCTTGATTTCTACATCTACTACTTTTACCAGGTATGGCATGAAGACTTACCGTATTGTCTGGCCTTTAAATATCCATCCTTGCACTCAAACACTGGTGGTTATATTTATGGGTGTCTGCAAGTTGAAATTCTCTTAAGTTAATAATAGATTTAAAATCTACCTCGTAACAAAATTCATCTCTGGCTGGTTTGAAGAGGAAGTGTTTATATCTCATCTTGCTGCACCAGTGACTCACACTCTTGTTCTATTTTTGGTTAATATTCTTGGAAGAGATGAGGAAGTTAACTTCTCGCTGTCGGTAATATTCTTTGTTCAAAGACACAACTTGACATGATCAGACCAGGGCTGCAGCTGACAATGATTTTCCTTAGTCCTTTTCTTTATATACTCAATTAATTATTTGGTCTGTAACTAAAAAATGTCTTGTTTTGTACGACCAACGGTGAAAATGCAAAGAAATGCAGGTTTCAGAACAGACAGCAAGTTTTTCTTTTGGGAGAAGCTGGAATACAAATATGTTGGACTCCTTACTTTATTGTTGAATTGTTTCTACTTGGTGCTGTTTTCTGTGTATTTCCTTGTTGAGATGTTTGCATTTTAAAGGCTTATCTGGGTTTTACAGTGCACACTAACTTACTCTATAAATGCTTTTGTCTTTGGTATTGATCCATGCTATATTCTTGTCCCTATAAGAATAAAACTAAATTATTAACAAATAGTCCAGAGCAGTAGTACTGTCTAAAACTATCAGGCTTCGATTTAATATTAACACAACTACAGTTTTGCTTCACCATACCAGCCTCATGCATATGACATGATGAAAACATGCTCTGAACTCCTGAGAAGCCCTCCTCCAGAGAGAAAGAAAGAAAGATGTTGGGGGGGGGGGTGCAACACACAAACACACGGCGCTGAATCTAAACAGTTGCGTGGCGTTGCATCAGGTGTGCGCTCATTATTCCTGGTGGGGCCACATGGAAAACAAACAGTGTTAATTAAATCCCCTCTGCTTGTTAGGACTTGAGTACATGTGTGCCACACACAGAGTACATTGCTAATATAGTTCCTAACTCTTAGAGGGATGGATGGGTGTTTTATTGTTGTGGTTTTATCCTCAATGGAACAATGGGGCTGAAATACCCCTTCAGTCCACTGCTTGCCCACCCCCACGGCTCATTTGCATCTACCCATTAGTGTTTACACCAGTGTAACATTTGAGGTAAAGATTATTAGATTTCTTTTCATTCTAATTACCCTCATTTCCTAAGAGGGCGCAGTAAATCTTTAACATTCTTGTTCTTGTCCTTTAAAATGATCTTGACTGAGTTTAACTACTTAATTAAGGGCTTCTTGATTTTATTTCTTGTATCAAATTTTTCCATTACCGCCTGGCATATCTTTCAGATTGTCCATGAGCCCGGAGGAGCACAGCGAGTTCTGGAGAAAGGTCCAGTTCACGGTGGATAAAGACGTGGTGAGAACAGACCGCAGCAACCACTTCTTCAGAGGAGAGAATAACCCCAATGTGGAGATCATGAGGTCAGACCACTTCTCTTCATTTCCCCCCTTTTTACCACTCATGATCTCTATCTTTGTCTCTCGTGCCTTCACCTTCCCTCAATCCATCCTTATCATTCCCATTCCTCAGCCCAACGCTCATGCGTACCTATTCATTTCATATTCTGAACCCTAGGGGAGCCGCAAATGAGTTTCATGCTTTATTGACTCTGACTAAGCCGTCTGAGCACTTTTGATGCATACTCGAAGCTAATGGCTTTTCTAAACGAGGAGCAAGAGGATTTAAATAGCATATTAGTTTAGTGACTCTCATCGAGGCTCCTGGTATTTGTCTAGGTATTATGTCTCATGCTGCTTCTGGGGCAGGGTGATCCCAGCACAGGTCCAGATGCACAGCACTTACCTCATGCGTCATCGGACACCTCATATCTATTGTATGGAAATGTTGGGGCATTTGGTCTGAGCATGTCATTCTTTAGATACTGATATTTTTTATATATGTTCCAAACACATAATCTATGTGTGTTTCCCCAAAAACTCCTCCAAATCACATCTATTTTTACTGATAACAATAAAAACAAGTCCTTAGGGTTTTCATTTTGTTTCTACAATCCTTACTAATGCACAAGGACTGCCAGGGAAGTTTACTTCAAAGTAGAACCTGTATACATTAAAAAAAATCATTAATTAGGTCCCTGGTTACCAGAAGAGTTGGCATAGCAACCGCTTAAGAAGGGCTTGTCATGCTTTTCTGGGAATTACCAGCAATGCAGAAACACATGCTGGATCATTCAGTGCTCGGGCGGGACCGTGCTTTTAGTGGTTTGGCTTTAGGGTCGTGAACATTTCTATGGGAGGGATGTGAAATGTTTATGACACTATGTTGCTACACGGTATTGGATGTCCTGTTTTCTGCTGAGATGTTTCTAAGGTGTTCCTGTGCTGTGTTTGACCCAGGCGGATTCTGCTCAACTATGCAGTGTTTAATCCTGACATGGGCTACTGCCAGGGCATGTCGGACCTGGTGGCCCCCCTGCTCACTGAGATCCAGGACGAAAGCGACACCTTCTGGTGCTTCGTAGGCCTCATGGAGAACACCATCTTCATCAGCTCGCCGCGGGATGAAGACATGGAGAGGCAGCTGGTAAGATGTGTCAGATTGTGGAATATAAGTGGAACCAAGATGGAGTAACTCTTCTGTTGAGATACACTTACAGGCGGCAGTAAAGTCCATCTGAAGTGCAAGTCCGCTTTCTAAATCCAACATCTGTGTCCGGATTCTTTTTCTGTACTAAAACCGACAATCCCACGTTAACCAACTTCAGTCTGTAATTGATAAGCAGTGTGAAGGTGAAGGTGTACAACAAAATGCAACACTAAACATTTAGAATATTCATTTAAATCTCTGAAGTTGTGCACCAATGTAGTAGTTTGTTTCAAGCTCAAATGAACTAAACATTCATATGAACCGATACTTATAAGGATCATTGTCTCAGACTTTGATGTTGATAAGTCCAGATTTGTTTTACATTTGTGACACTGTTACCGGGTTCAAAAAGCAACATTTTCTTCATTGTTGTTTTCTTAACATTGACAAATACACCAAACCCCGATCTATTCCAAGTACAAAAGAAATCTATCGAACGTGTGCATCCTGAAGGAGCATAATCCCAGTACAGAAGACCACTAATATCTCACTAGAAATGTACACGTTTGTAAGACAGTGTGTATCCTCCTCCAGATGTACCTGCGGGAGCTGCTGCGCCTCATGCTGCCCCGCTTCCACCAGCACCTCACCGGGCTGGGGGAGGACGGCCTGCAGCTGCTCTTCTGCCACCGCTGGATCCTGCTCTGCTTCAAACGAGAATTCCCCGACACCGAGGCTCTGCGCATGTGGGAGGCCTGCTGGGCTCACTACCAGGTCAGGGCCAAGTCTCAACGGCTCCTTTGCATACACAAGTTTGTGAGAAAAACTTTGCATAAACGAGAAAACAGGCTGCGACTGTTTCACTACAGTATCACATTTTTCATTATTTTCAGGAAGCATGCAGCTAATATAAAATTTGCCATTTAAAAAAATCCCATGTTATCCCTTTTTAAAGCCTGTCTCTACAGACTATAATAATCCTCCTAAATACATTTAACATGTCATACTACCCCTTGGTTTTGAAGAGGTTTAATTCAACAGCGATACGTAATACTTTCAGTAGAGATTCAACATATATAATATCAACTATTGATTTTGTTCACATGAAAATGAAACATTTCGAATGTCCTTATGGCCTCGCAGCTTTGTAAATTAATATTGTAAAAAGTAATACAAATGTTATCAATTCAATAATCTTAGATATGATATAGAATTTATATCAGTCTTCCTGCTGCATGCCATTCTTTCTAGATGTTATGATTGTTAGATCCAGGTGCTGGTAGAGGAAATAGCAGAGTAAAAACCTCGGTTTAGAAGCAAGAATTTCTGATTAATATTTTTTTTCTGTGTATGGAAGACATCAATTCATTTGTTGTTAACTTAAAATTCCAAATACTATACCTTCATAATTTGCATTTCCCTTGAACTGGGTTTCTTGGTGGATTTGAATTTTGTGCTACTATTTTTTGTCCTTCCTCTACAGATGGTACATTTCAAATTGTACCCCGCAGCAAGGTCACAACTAAATCCAGAGATCGGAGACCATGTTTTCATTAGGGCTTAAAAAAACGGCTAATTTGCAAATATTCCTGCTTTCGTGTTTCAGTATTGACTTGCTGACGAACATTTCCCCCTCTCTTCATAGACAGACTACTTTCACCTGTTCCTGTGTGTGGCCATCATTGTTCTGTACGGGGAGGATGTGTCAGATCAGCAGCTCGCCACGGACCAAATGTTGCTCCACTTCAGCAACCTCTCCATGCACATGAATGGAGAGCTGGTGTTACGCAAGGTAAACAGCAGTAAATGCTCTGGGTTTTCCCGCTTATTGTCAACTGTGTATAGGGTCGCAAAGAGTGGGAGAAATTCCACAAAATGTCCATGACATTTTTGCATAATTTCTGAGAAATTTCAAGGGGAAGTTAGGCTCTGGAATTTTCTATCATCACCTTAAAAATAAATTCAGTAAATGTACATCCCTCTGAGTGCATTCTCCTTTAACATTCATTTTTGATGGTAAAACATTTATTTAATAAATGAGTTTTCTCTTTTAACCCTAAATTGAGAAACAGCCAATGTTGCTGTCACAAGGTTTTAAAGTACCTTTCAGGTTTAGTTCAATTGTTACCTAGCTAACTCACCACTTGGCTCGTTTCACATTGTGACGCATTCATAGATTTGTCAGAGAAGTTGATTATGTATGCGTTAGATATTGTATAATATTTCAATTTGCATATAACATGGTTAATGACATGGTAAATAGTACCAGAGCGATTCCCATAAGATCCCATTCATTCTCTTTAATTTCTACGGAAATATTTAACCTTGAATATTCCCCACCCATAGTAAATAGGACGTCACTCATCCTTAACTATTAAAATAATCTGTGGTTATGACCATGTTTCCCAGGCGGCTGCATTACATTTATCAAAATACAGTGTTGTCTTTGCATCACGAAGCCCCCCCTAACGCTGCAGCAGAGCGCCTCTGACACACTGTAACCTGCTGCAGAGGCCTTGAGGTGCCGAATGGGATGCGGCCGTGCCTTGCAGAGGATTTATGATCTGCATCCCTGCTATTGTGTCAGTGCCTCATGTTTATGGATGCTGTGTTGGTACGGCTGCAACCACAGGCAGTGCGCTACGTTAGCATGCAGCTGGCGTGGCTCCTTTTCGTTGTTGCCTGAGATTTTGCATCCGATGCACGCTGGCTTTTTAGCTCGCTGACCTTGACATTGTTTTGTTACCAGACTCAAGGGTATTGTTTTAATCTAAAGCTTTCTCCACTGTGATATCAGCAACTGTTTAGCATTCCCTGACTGTGTTTCTTGTCAATACAAAGTTCCTTTCACTCTTTTACATATTTTATTTAATTTTGACACTTTTGCCCTTGCGCTTCCAGGCCCGCAGCCTTCTCTACCAGTTCCGCCTGCTACCCAGAATCCCCTGCAGCCTACACGACCTTTGTAAACTGTGTGGCCCGGGGATGTGGGACAGCCGCTACATCCCCACTGTGGAGTGTTCTGGTGAACACCCGGACTCACAGAGCTGCCCCTATGGAGGCACCTCCACCCCCCAGCCCTCCTCACCCTCCCTCTCAATCACGCCTTCGCCCTCAACCAACCCCACCCCCACGCCGGAGGGCAAAAAAATCTCCAAAACCAGGGATATTTTCACCTTCCGGAAACAGTCCTGAGGGCAGGGGCTTTGGGGAGTTTGGCTGGTCTTTGCCTCACGTTGGTTTGGATCCATCTGCTGGAACAATTTGTCCCTCCCTCTGACTCCTCTCCCCCAAAGTCCCTGCTTCTACGATCTTACTGAGGATGATTGTCACTTTTCATGTGGTGCAATGTTGAACCCTGCCTTACCAGAATGTTATTTGCATCGTTCAGTATCACATGATTCTGCGATGAGGACGGTTTGCTGCTGGACGGGCAGCAGAGCAGGGGGCTGCTCTCCTCTTGGAGCAGGATGGACAATCACCGGGGAATTGTTGCTCCGGGGCTACTTCAGGTTTGAGTCTGCTGCTGGCTTGGCAAACTTCCATGGGCTTTGTGGGCAGGGGTCACATCAGGGTCTGAGGCAAGCGGCCTGAAATCGTGCGGACTGCTCTGACCGAGGGTCAAATGTAACTGGAGATTCATTCACAGGACATGAACTTGAATTTATGAAAAATGTTCTCACAATAGAATACTTGTGTGAATATCAAATTACATGTGCAGATCTCGAGTCTGAGCAGGACATTTTTAACAAGAAATCCAAACCCTCTGTGCTAACAAAGAGGGGTTGACCTACAAATGATATTATAAGAAATGAATGGTACTTACATTTTTTCTTTAATTTTGTTTTTAAACAAGTGAATGTTTGCGTTTATATCAGCAATTACAAATATTTAGCAATATTATAGCCTTGCATGAGCAACTCCTCGACATATAGAGGGCACAACATGTTTGATGGAAAACACACAAGCCCAAAACAGAGGTAAGAATGTGTTTACAGGACAAACACTCGCATCATGACAGGGCTCTGCATATATCCTCTTTCCTATCAGATTAAGGAAAGGAACATTCTCATAATATCACTCCGTTAAAAAATAGTTTTCCCGTCAGGCAGGAGGAATCCAGGCATTTGTTTCCTTCTGGTAAGTCAGACACAAATGTTCTCGCTACCTGTTGAGACAGGAGCTTAATCATTTCCCACCCTAAGATATCATTTCAAGCGTGTTGAGGTATTGAATTCAATCAATCAATGTTTATTTATAGAATTGATATGACAGCGCTGTCAGCCAAAGAAAGAATACATCATGTTTTTATCCTGACAGAAAAATAGACAGCTTTGTGTTTTACTCGAAGACTTTTCTTCATTTTTAGAAAGGCTTGTGAAAAATTGACAGCACAGTGTTTTTATTTCCCTTCAGTGTTCTCTTCACTTTCACCTTAAAAGCGAATGACAAAGCACTATCAACACTCAGAATCAGTCCACATGAATGTATCCGCTTTTTGTGTTTCTTCTCACTCACCAGGGTGAAACTGTACGGTGTGTGAGAGCGAGTGTGTGTATAAACTGGAGTGACCTCCAAACATCTGGTAATGAGTTGGAGAACAGCCGTAGAGCCCCCCCCCCTGACCAGTCTCTTTAATTACAGCTGTGATCATAGGGGGGGGGGGGGGGAAAGAAGAAAATTGGGACTCTTTAGAGAAATACAATGGGGCAGAGGGGAAAGGGACGATTTAAGCTTCACAGGGGGATAGAAAGTGATCAGCATCCTGCCTCTGTGATTTGCAAGTCCCAGATGTAAAGATGGTCTCCCCTCCGAGGCTTTTGAGTGACACTCCTGGGGCTGAAAACATCTTCAAATTGCTGCTAAAATGTAACATTAAGACCTTCAATCAGCAACCCCCCCCNTGGGAGTCATTATGACCTCTTTGGTCAGGGTTACGCAGCCACAGAAGGCCACACCCTCTTGGGCCCATGAGAGCTTGGCCTATAGGCATACAGTATTAAGAGACAAACTGCTGGCATCACTGAAGGAAAGCTCTACACCTGCTTGTAAAGGAGGGATACTTCAAAGATCAAACTCTACTGTATGATGCAAACACATGTTTATACAGTGTTTCATCAATATATTATAGGTCTCAGATATATACAAACATGTCTCTGAAGTGTTTGGCTCGAAATACCAAACAGATCATGCACTGCAGCATCCCATAATCCCCTCTGTTTCAGCCCTGTTTCAAAAGTGCTGATTCTCTGTCTGTTACTTTAGATGAAAATAAGAAGCCACTCCCCACGCCCCTCTGAGAGATATTTGGTTAAAAATAACACAATGGTGCTCCAGGAGGAGATTCAGGTGATAAGGTTACCTTGGTTGGTTATTGGCTAATGGTTACACAAGCCAAAAAATCGTTATGACATCATAAAGTGGCCCAAATCTGATCAGCTCATTTTAAGACAGACATTTTATATAAATGAATAAGGACAAAAAGTGAGCAAATCTTTTTTCCTGAAACTTTCAGAATCTTTTTACACAGAAGGGACACATGTTGATGCATAAAAGACATGAAAAAGTGGATTTTGCATAATAGGTGATCTTTAAGCAAGTGATCTGTGTGCTTCTTCCACCACTGGTTCATCATGACCATTACCATCCAATCTGCAGTTAGGATGTCAGGAAAGGGTTAAAGAATGGGATTTTGCTCTGTCTTTGCCAACAACCTGCTGGTTATCATTCCAACCAGACCTTTGCTGATTCTGCCCAATGTTTTATATGGTCCTTATTAGATCCCTGAACTGTTTTACTCCATATCACAGTGTCCACTTCTCACTTTTAAGGAGCTCTGCCAACGTAGCCAAGCCCGATGCCAACAGAAATGTCTGCCCCTAATTTAGGTACCCTGCTGCATTCCTGGCCTAAAACAAAGCGGTGGCTGTTCACCATACTAAGGCGATCTTGCAACAGATACCAGCTCCATGTTGAAACGGACTCTAATCCCTCTTTTCACACTGGCCTCTTGGTCCTCATCCAGTTGTACTACAATTGAACTCCCTGGGGGTATAAGCACACTCATTTCTTTCCTGGCCCTAATAGTAAAAGTGATAAGGCATTTTATAAATAACACATGTTTCATTAAATGCAGATCTCAAAGGGGAACCCGGAGGATAAAGCCACACTGTAATTAAAAGCAGGTAAAACAACAGGGGAAAGGTTCAATCTGAAGCAGCGGGGTAAGAATTTGTGGTTAGCTTTTTAGTAACTCAGAAATACTGCGATCATTTCAAAAATAAAATATTAAAGGATTTCTTTAATTGAGTCCAGTGTCTGATGTGCCTTCAGGTGGTCGGGAAGTGCGTTCAAGAGGAACAAAGCAGCTCTTTCCGAAAGACAAACCCCCCCCACGGTTCATGTTAGACCTGGAGGATTAGACTGGATGCTCAACCTGGTGCTGCAAATGGAGGTTTAGAAGTTCTTCCTCATGGTTACATCTGTCTAGCTAAGTTTCACTCCCATTTCGCTTTTTCACACTGCTCATTTCCCTTCGCCTCTCCTTGCTCCCCCTCTTTCTCTCGTCCTCTCCCACTCTCTCTGCCTGAGCCTGCCCTGACCCAGACGTCTGTTCCCTGTCTGAGCTCCTGCCAGATTCCTGCAAGGGGAGGAATGCACAAGAGGGCCTCGCCGAGCCACAATTAACATTTCGTCGGTGCTTCGCCCACACCTATGCAGGGTGCTTAATGATGGCATATTCATGAAAAGCAAATATTTGCACAGAAAAGCTGTCTCCCAGCGACCGGCGAGAAGAAGGGGAAGATAATTGAAAGGAGCTTGCGGCACTTCTAACACACAAAAAAAGGCCAGAATGAGGTAAAAAAGAAAAGAAGAGCAAAGATAAATGGAGGGCTGGGAATTGAAGAGACTGTTGGTAGAGAGAGGATACCCTGTGAGGAGTGTGTAGTGACAGGAGAAAACCCTCTCTGTGGGGGGGAAGTGGCTCATGCTGAGAGGGCACCAGCAACACTGAAAAGAATCCCGGAAAATCAGAGAAGGCAGGGATGCAGAATAAAGAGGGAGAGAGAGAGAGAGAGAGAGGACCAGGGGTGACAGGTAGAGTGGAATCTTTTTTAGCAGGAAAATCAGATACAGTAAAACAGAGATGTGTTAAAAAACAGATAAGAAGAAGAAATTCACGGTTGACAAAGGATCGAGAAGGAGAGATGATACACTGACGGTTTTCCAAGAGGAGCAGACTGTATAACGTCCTCCATTTCCCCAATGAACATCCCTCCCTACTGCTGCCCCCAGCTGGGAGCGCACACACACATTCACACTCACAGACACACACAAAATCACACATGCACACAAACACATCCAGCCACTGCTGTCTGGTTGGGGGAGGGGAACAGTGAGATGCAGGGAAAAGGCGAGGGATGGTGATGGAGAGGGGAAAGAGAAGAGCAACAGAGAGGGATGCAACAAGAAGGGGAGGATGAGGAAGGGGAAGAGAGATCCGATCGAAGGACGTGAAAGAAAGACACAAAGAGGGGGAGGTGGAAGGAGAACAGAAAAGAAAAAGAGAGAAATGATGTTACACATGGCGTGTCTGTGTGTGTGCTTCCACCTGCACTGCAATGCTTACATTGTAAATCATCCACCTGACTCAGCATCCCACTCACACACATTTAAACTCACACACTCCTCTCTATTCATCATCCATGTTCTCCTGCCCGCTGCCACACACACACACACTTAAAATTCCAACTAAATCCCCCAGCACAGAAGTAATTCAGGAGTCAATAACACGTTACACATGCACCCCTCGAAAACACATAGATGCACCCATCCCCCTTCAGAACATTCACATATACACTCCTACACACACATGCAGTCCTAAATGAGACAGCTGGAGCTATCAAACCAAAGCCTGTGAGAGCCAGCTTTCTTCAGATGGATTTGAGATGTGGGCTTTACCGTATCATCTGCCAGCACGCTGCTGGGAATGAGACGTCACGTTCATAACAGCCTACTGCCTTATAAGGCAATTATCTCTCTCTCTTCTCTACCCAGTCTCTCTCTCACTTTCTCTCCCCCTTCAGTGGGGGAGGGATGAGTGGTTTCAATTATGTGAAACAAAGACCAAATTAGGCACCTGGCAATTTCAATATGGCCTCTTTCTCTGCATCAAGTTGATAGGATGTGGATTTGATAGGGAGGTAATGTGTTTGCATGCATCTCAGTCTCATGGACGATGAACACATGCATTGGTTTGCACGGTGATAAACAAATTGCTTTGGAATTTAACAACAGCAAGAAAACAAGATTATATTTCTTAACCTTGTAGAAATAAATGACCAACAATGGACACAATATTTCTAAAAAGAACATGTTCTTTTGTTCTTATCGAGGAAAGTAAACACTGCTGTGCACATTCCATTATGCCGGTCACACAAAGGCTCAGCAGCAGGCCGTGATCGATCCGCCCGCGGCAGCTTTGAGGGCACATTGAGACTCTTCTCTCATTGACTACTTTACAATCAATAGTAGCTGATTACCGGCTGCAGAAACGAGCATGGGGTATCTGACACTGCTGTGATCGTGCACTCGGTTTCACACACAGACCACAATGAACACAATATATACAAATGCAACCAGTTGCCGTTCTCAAACACTCTTTCTCTCTCACCAGCACACACACACAACACACTTAAAAAGGTACAATCTCACGCCCACACCGACCATAAGCTAGATAATCTCTCTAATGAGGGATGGCGGGTTGCTGCTGTATTGAAGCTGTCTTCTGTCGGACAGTGCGGCCTACACACAGGGCCGTGAGTAATGGATTTTACTGCAGTAATAACTGTAAATGCTTTTTTATTTCAATGTCCTTTATCCTCAATTTAGTTTAGCACCATCCGACCGTGAAGCCCAACATTATCTCCTGACACCATATTTAAACACCCCAAGTGAAGGATGGAAAAATCAACTCTTCCTCGTGTATGAGAGTGCGCTCAACCATCCCCTTTTTTCCATCTCCATGTATGGTGCTGCAGTGAGGCTGCGAGGGGACCTTCCTCCGCTCTATGCCCCTCACAGGCAGCTCAGCGCCTGCACTGCTCTAATCCACTGAGCTGCTAAGGAAAGAGTGCTGACGGTGCCTTTTTCTACAGACTATCTGCTAATCCAGCTGGCTGCAGGTCTGGGAGAATAATCCTGGATTAGGGAGTCCTCCCCATGGAGCGACCATGGGGTCCCTCATGGGGGCCCCGTCACACTGAGCTGTGCCTGAGGCATAGCACCTTTCACATTGTGAGAGAACATAACAGACAATCCAAAAACAGCTAAACAGTGTCTGATTAGGATTGCATTGCACCAAATCTCGCTTTGTCGCCCTGAGGGGACCTGCAGTGCTTATTGGAGATGAATAATAGTAAAGAGGGATAATGGTGGATAGGCCCTTGTGATGTTACAAGTGCCTTTCATTTGAAGTGACAAAGATTTGGATTCAAGAACGGGTGGAAATGAGCCCCCAACGAGGCACTTTGTTAGCACAGGATACACTCTAATTGGTGCATTGTTAGACTGACAGCTATTGTCTTAATGAGAACCCTGCCATGTGTGTGTGTGTGTGTGTGTGTGTGTGTTCCTACTTTAACCTTACTAACCACAAGTGTTCTAATAAAAAAAGACGCTACAAGACACAGGCACAAATAATGAATGTGAAAAAGCTACAAAAGGTTTAATTGACTGGAAATAAAAAGAACCCACTAGGAGTCATGGTGATGACACATAGCTTATTAACGCACACTTTAGAAGGCAACATATGTCAGCCCAGAGTCAAATAACAAACAACAGAGCAGATTCACAAATAAATGAAGGATCACTGCAAAGCCACAATCTACCAGCGGA